GCCTCTGGTATGTCTTCTGAAGTGGCTTCCAAAACAGTGATTGGAAGGATTTATTTATTTATTTAGTTTTGAGTAATGTTTTGGATTGGTCCCTGCATTTTTCTAAACGTCAGCAGCCAGGATTGTAATAAATAAAGCATCTTTCACTTACTTCAAAGGCAATATGTGAAACACATAGAATAAAATCTCAGCCAATGGAGCTGCAGATGAATAAACTATTTTGCCTAGCTTACTTCAGCCCAACAGATGCTTATTAGCATATCTCTGATGTGCCAGGCATTTTATAGTTGTTGGATTACAAAGATGAGCAAGAGTCGGCTCCTGCCTGTGGGGGAAAGACATAGAAACTGATCATTTCAGTCGTTCATTGGTTGCGTGGGGATCCCTGGGATCACAGATGGAGGATAGTTGAGGGGGAAAGAGAAGAATTCTAGGAAGACAGGAACCTCAGCCTGTGATGTCTCTTTGAGGACAAACGGGATGATCCCCTTGGTGTAGGGACAGAGACCCAACTCAGAGAGACGCCCACATTTATGGGAATTTATTGCCTGCAGAGTTCACCGGTAGGATTGACTCCAGGTGGGCTGAAGGCACCAGCTCAGCAGTGACTCCCGTGGCTCTGTCCTAACTGTGCCCATGTGCGGTCACATGGCCTCTCCTCTGTGATTCCGCATCCAATCCTCCGCACACACTCCTCCCCAAGGTGCAGGAGTGAGGTTTTCTCTCGTTCCAGCTCGACCTAAGGATTTAGGCACTGGTGGTAAATTGTACCTGTCCCTGAGCCAGTCACTGTGACTGGTGAGATCCTAACTGGCTTCCCTAAGTCAGGGCCTACCCTCAAGCTTAGAATAAAGTCAGTCTCACTCAAGCCTCGGGGCTAAAGATGAGTGAGGAAGGGAATGGATGACCAGGAGGCAGCCAGCAAGTGTTTACTAGAGCGGGGGAAGAGAAATGAAAGAGCCTTTTGGGTAAAGGTAGTAATATAAGCGAAAGTAGGAAGCACGCCCCATCCCAGTGTGTGTGGGAAACAGCAAGCAGGTAAATGTTAATTTGACATGTAGTAAGAGACGTAGAAAATAATTATAAAACAGTAATGTGATGTTATATTTACCATCTGTGGGATCTAGTTTCCATATATTATTTCACTGAATTCCCCCAACAACTAAGTTAGGCATGTCATCTTGCAGGTAAAGAAACTTGAGCCCAAGCTCACAGCTAATAACCGGGGAAGCTGGACTCAAACTCAGCTCATCCGCCTCTAGCGGCAGTCCACGTGGACACTGCAGTGCATTAAGTACTGTCCTCTAGCTTGCTGGAGTTTCAGAAAGAAGACCTCACCCACCACGCTGAGGAGCCGGGTTTCCTCTGGGGCTCCAGTTTTCTTCAAGCTCTAACTCCTTGCCTTGCCACGCATGCACGACAAGGCACTGGCTCTCAAACTTGAGCATGCATCAGATAGCTTTTTAAGGGGGTCCTAACACCACATTTCCTGGTTCAGTAGATCTAGAGTGGGTCTCCAAAATTTGTATTTCTTTTCTCTTCTTTTCTTTTTAGAATTTGCATTTCTAAGAAGTTTCTAAATGAAGCTGAGGCTGGTGGTCTGGGAGCCACACTTTGAGATCTTTGGGAACTGAAGATTTGTGGTTCAATGATATTCTAACCTATCAAAATGCTGCTTGGAAATACACGTGCTCTTACCTCACATTCTTTAATAATACAGGAAGCAAGACTACATTTGGTCTTAGTGATGTCCTCCCCCAAAGGTCAAGATCATTGCATAAGTGTTTTATTGATTGAATTTCTTCTGTCTCTCTGATTCTTGATTTATTAAAACTAAATTTATTGCTCTCTTTCTAGGGCTTGCTCAGTTCGCTAATGCTCAGTTCCCTCTTGACTGTTCAAAGGTATATTTGTGTAGAAAAGACATATGTTTAAACACTTTATTTTATTGGTCTACATTTTTAGTATGAGAAATTAAAATATCAGAAAGAGTAACATGAATACTCATATTTCCACCATCTAGAGTCAACAGTTGTAAATGTATATACGTGTGTTTACACACATTTTGCTTTTAATGAACCATTTTAAAGTAAGTTCCAGACCTTGTGCCAGTTCACCCACAAATAGAACAGGGCATACTGCTTGGGAAGAACATTCTCTTCTGTAATCACAGTTCCATGATCACATTTAAGAAAATTAACAATAATTCCGAATGTTTTCTAACATGTAGGCATATTCTAATTTCTGCAGTTGTCCCAATATCTCCTGTGTGTGCAGGTGTGCGTGTATTTGTTATCAGGATCCCATCGAGTGAAACTAAATCCTAAGGTTCTGCAATACTGAATGGACCTTTTGGCTCAGATAAATTGTGTGTTATTTAAATAACTGACTTGATTGTTTTAAGGAAAACCCACCTTAATGATGGCTTGAATAAAGAAGATGTTTATTTCTTTCCTTTGTAACCAACTGGAGAGAAAGTGTCCTGGGCTAGTTGGGGAGCTCTGTTCTACTCAATATGTGGCTTCAGTTTTTGAGGCCAAGGTAGCTGTTGCAGCCCTAGCATCATGCGGGACAGAGGGGAGGGGAGTGCATACTCAGTCCTGTTACAGGCACGTTTGGATGTCGCACATGTCGCCTCTGCTCCCGTCTCATTGGTAAGAATGTAATCATGTGATGTTTCTGCATATTAGAGGCCTGGAAATGCAGGCTGTGTTCTGGATGGCCATGCGTATGGTGATAATTCAAGTGCCCGAAGAAAGACCGACTCCTGGGGCAGCAGGTAGCATCTCTGCCACAAGTTCTCTTTTTGAAAATGACTGAGCTGTTCCAAACGATATTAAACCCATTTAATTACCCTGAATCCATTGCGATGTGACATTTCTCTTTTGAGCTATAATCGGGCTTGTCATTGCTCCTATGCTGAGCCCAGAATGTTATTTTTAAAAAATTATTTTACAGATGTTCTGTCATCGTTTTTTATTAGGGCATAGCCGTTGTTGCTGACAGCTGTCAGTGTGTTCACACTTTTCTGGTTTGCTATTTTCTTTTCTCTGGGCTGGGAAAGCAGGTGACAGTCCCCATCATAATAATGCTGTGATGGTGTGTTTTATGCGTGCTGTCCAGTATTAGGGACTTCGACATCTTACATCTAACTTTGGAACTCTTATACAAACAGTCATTTTGCAAGTGAGGGAGGCTCCAGCTCCTGGGATATCAGCAACCTGTGTATGAGAACTGCACTGTTAGAACCAGAACTGACGTAAGAACTGAGGCCCTGACTGAGGCCTGGGAATCTACCCGTAAGAAGTTTCATGGTTTTCATTACAAAGACATTGAAGCATCTTTTTCAATGATGACTTAGAGGCATTTTTATACTTTTTTATTTTTGCTGGCTACAGACAAATGGGATTGCTAAATAGTTAAATTCTCAATAGACAAAGTTCTCATTGCCTAAAGAGATCTCTGTGACTATACTTGTATAACATGCATACAAACTCATAGCTTTTAGGGAAACCTTTAAGAAGCATAGTAGAAAACTATTAGATTTTAAAAAGCTTAAAACAGTGACTGTAAATCTCACTGAGCATCATAAAAATATGAATACTGAGGGAATACTCTTCAAAACAGCTTCAGTGGGAATAATCCTTTTCTCTCTAGGGAGATCCCAGAGTGGTTCAGATCTGTGTTTAGTGGGCGTTCTTATGCTAAGACAGAATTCAACCTGGAGCTTCTCTCTGGTGATAGAACTATCGAGCAATCAAGATGGGCTAGGGCATGTGGCGGTAATAAACACCCCCAAATCTTAGTCTTCTTTTTCAAAAAACTCCTTTGGCAACACATTTTCTTTTTAGAAATTGCCCCTGAGTCCATAGTCAGATACAATAATTAGAATGTCATCCATTTCTATGCAATTTAATTTTATTTGACCAAAGTATTCTTTAAATTTCAAAATTTAAGTGTACTATATTGGCACTTATATCCAAGGTAATATGGAATAGTTCTACAGGACTTGCTGTATGTGGTAGGTATGGGTTAGAGACAACAAATTAATTAGAGGATTGACCTTTTATTTATTTCCTTAGTGAGTAGCTTACCTGTATTTTTTGGACCATAGGACATACCTAGGTTTTAGAGGAGGAAAATAGGGGAAAAAATTTGAAGCAAAAAATGTAAAATATTTAATAACATAAATAACACAATATTTCACCAATATAAATGTAAACAGAACTCAACAGCGGCATTAACAACCGTTATTCTTCCCAAACTGGGGGGGGGGGTGCATCTTGTAGTCCGAAAAATATGGTAATTATTCTTTGACATTGTTCCTCCCTATATAATCCCACCAGCGGAACGTAAAAAGTTACAGCCACCAGATCTTTTTCAGATTAGGGATACTGCAGTGTCATAGAAGTCATCATCATTATCATCCTCTTAATATATTTTAAGAATTGTGAATTTCATGGTTGATACTTATAGACTGATAGTAGAAGATCCTTTAAAATCAATCTGTAGTTTAGTGCAATCCATGATTATTAGTATTTTTGACTGTGTATATTTTTTTCACTCCCAACAGTGATTAACACTGTGACTTGTGTAGAGTGTGCTGTGTTTGACAGGTGCCCAGGTCACTGGAAAGAATGAGGCTGGTGTGTTCTGAAGAAAAGTAGCCTTTTGCAGAGCAGTCGTCATACTTCTGATTTTGGGGAACATGATACATTGCAAAGAGTCCTGATTGTCGTTGAGGATTATCTTGAACTAGGAAATTTAACATACAGTAAATGAGAGTAATTGTACTTAAAAATATAGACATCTAAATCCTTTAAAATGGAGATGTGTATATATACTGATACACAATAATCTGATGGCTTCATCAGTTCATAATTTAAAGTTTGAACTTCTCCTTTTCCCCCTGGGGGAAAAATAAACTTATGACATATTTGTGGTGGGTAGCGATAAATATTTAAGAATAGGTCAACTAATTTTCTCTAATTCTTCTTCAGGTAGAGATTTGATTTGCATCCAGTCCGTGGATGGGATGCTGATGGTGTTTGAGCAGGAGAGCTATGCTTTTGGGCGGTTTCTCCCCGGTTCTCTCTTGCCTGGCCCGCTTGCCTACAGTTCCCGGACAGATTCCTTCATCACCGTCTCTTCCTGCCGACACGTGGAAAGTTACAAGTAAGTTTGGATGTCCGGCCTTTGAAATCATGGTTTTTTGGTGTGTACGTTGCTGATTAGTTCTTTTCCACAAAGAGCTTCAATATCACAAATAAAGAAGACCTCCCCCCCCCCGCCCACCCCGCTTTAAAATAAAATGTACTTCCCGTGACGCAGAGGTATCTTTTACGTGCGGTGAGATATCTGAAAGGCGGTCTGGTGCAGAGGCTGAGAGGAGGGGTGTGCAGAGAGGTGGACCTGGCTGGAACCATGACTTTGCTACTCCCAGCTGTTGGGTGGTCAGTGTCCTGGCTGCAAGGTGGATAATAACAGCTCTTTGACAAGTTTTTTATGAGGATGACGTGGTGTCAAGTTGCCACCCTATAGAAAATGTTCAACAATTCTTGGGACTGTTCCCTGAAGTATAAATAATAAAACACAGGGTCAGCGAAAAAAGCCCAATATAAAGATGCATATATGGAATTGTTTTATAAAAAAAAAAGAATGTATGTGTACATAGGAAGAAGTCTGGCAAGACATACAAGCGTTGTTACAAATGTTTATAAAAGAATGATGATAATAGAAGTGAAGTATGAAAACAGCCCTGTGAAAGCAGTTTATATTTTTTACTAGAAATCCTTACTGATCTTGGTGACTTGTGTTTAGAGAGAGAGCTTTTTCTCCTCTATCAGCTACATTTCAATAAAAGTTAAGCTTCTGAGGTTTTGGAGGCTGTGTTTTACGTTGGAAGGGAGAATGGGGAAAAGAAGTCCATGCTGGGAAAGAAATCAGCTTGGGGACTTACAGTGTCTTCAGGAACTTTTTTTGTTGTTATCTTACTGATGGCAACAGTTAGAACTTTAAACGTCTGAGTAACACTTCATTATAGTTTTTTGGTATTATTTTTGGCCACACGTTTTTCCCAGGGCAGGAAGAAAATATAAATCCATCAGGCAACAGCTGTACATTTTTGTCTTCAAGTTTCAATACAGCATCCATAGCAAGGCGATGCAGTTTTCCCTTCGCACGTGGCAACCTGGCTTTTGTGAATTACTGTCAGGGCACCTAGGATCCAGAACTCTGAAAACAGGCCAGTGTTTGTGACGAGGAAGTTGACTGGTGGAGGTAGTGTATCATTATGTCACATTCCTGCCGTCACTCCTGTGGCCCTTGTCCACAGGAGATGAATGAGTTGTGGCATTGCTACTGTAATAAATAAAATATTATAGTTATCTTGAGAGGCTGAGAAAAGTATCTGTATAATGCATTCAGGCCTGTCAAAACCGAAGTAGTATTGAGGAGATCTGCTTTTCAGCTTTCCACCCAGTGCTGTGTCTCAACTCCTGCCAAGCTGTGATTCTGGCGGTGCTAGACAAGGGTCACAGCACGGAGATCTGAGTGCTCCATGACCTACTCTTTGAAATATGTGCATAGGAATTAACTTGGTAATAACCCCAGGAGCGACTGGATGAGGAAGCGATGTGTAGGTTCCCTTAATGCGTAAATTTAATCCCACCGAAGCTCACGCTGTTTTAACTGCGGTGATTCAGCATGCCAATCTGTTAAATTCATCTCCATTTAGGACTAAAGAATTCACCACTTGATCCGTCATGTGGGTCTTTGATAATGGTAAAAATGCATGGGTTATGTGATTATTGTGCAATGGTGACAGTTAGGAGGGTTTATAACATTAAATAGTGCGTTGTATTTACCTGCGCTTTCAAGTTTAATAGATAAAATTGAATGATAATCACAGGTGCAGTTTGGGATGGGAGGAAGCGTGGAAACCGTAGGTTCTTTTGAAGCTTCACTAAACATATTTATAATCAGTTAATAGAATTTAATCAGTTAGTATAAAAGGCTTTTCAGACAGGACTCATTTTTCATTTTTGATACTGTTGTTTAATTACTTTAAAACAAGCTCGGTTATGTTCAGAGAGAAGCTAGGGGAGGCCGTGGGTCTCCGACTTCAGTGTGGGAAGCCTGCTCAGACGCTCATTTGCAGATTCCCAGTCCCCAATGCTCTAGATCTGGGTTTAGTAATTTTGGGAAATGTCCCAGAAATTGTCATTGCAAACACACAGGTAGGATTCTAATTCAGGGACACACGTTGAGAGTTGTTTTTCTTTTGAAGTGAGGGAATCGTTGGCCTTTTTGGGAGGGGTAGCTTCTGTATCACTGTACTTCTGGCCATATTTATCAAACCTGAGAATCATTTTCTATTCTCTTTTTCTTTCCTTGTCAGAGTTATTTAGTCAGTAGATCCTGACCTTTCTACCTTTTTTTCCTCTTATTCAACCATTACTTCCTGTTACCATTGGCACTGAGGCCTTTATTTTTTCACTTAGATATCTGGTTTTCTTGACTCTGGATTTTAGGGTCCTTCTTATAGCTACCTTAAAATATTTTTTATCCTCACCTGAGGATGTTTTTCCATTGCTTTTAGAGGGAGAGGGAGGCAGAGAGGAACACCGATGTGAGAGAGAAACATCAATGGAATGCCTCTGTTATGTGCCTGGATGGGTAGGTCAAATCCACAACCCAGGCATGTGCCCTGACTGAGAATCGAACCCACAGCCTTTTGGCTATGGGATGGTGCTCCCAACCAACTGCACCACATCGGCCAGGGCTATAGCTATCTTTTTAAAACACCCTTTAAGCCAGAATTTTTGTTTCTCATTAAAAAATCCAAACTTTCTTATATTGGCATTTAGTGCTCTCTATAATCAAGTCCCATTTTATCTCTGTTATGTTGACTTTCAGATTTGAATAGACTTTTAAAGTTAACTGGTTTGACTATCCCTCTTTTTTCACCTCCTAGAGATATTTTTTGGCTAGTAAAGTGATTTTTGCACAATATCATATATTGCCTTCTTCTACTGTGCAAAATGTTCCAGAGGATGGCTTGCATTATCAGGTTCCTGAGACCAGAATCTGTCTTAAATATCTGCTCACTGATGGAATAATTTGGTTTGTTTGTTCAATCTTTCATTTAGAAAACATTTTTCAAGAGGCTCCTATGTGCCACACACCGTGCAAAGTACAGGAAGTGCAAGTTAAATGAGACCTGTCTCTTGTCCTCAGGTGGCATGTAAGCAAGTGGGGGAGGTGGCAAATCAGTTGGCAGTTTCAGTTCGTTGTGATCCAGGATGCAGCAGAACTGTGCACGGGGTACTGAGGAGGCCTGCAGGGGACTCCTTTAAAAAAGAGTCGATTGTGGGGAGGCTCCCTGAAGAAGTGTATGTATTTGCCATGAGTTTTGTTTTTCTCCTTTGTGCCCTACACTTTCCCTGCACTCTTATAGTGGCTCCCAGTATATTGTAAATAGATAATAGGCTTTAAATTCATATTTTGAAAACTACATTTGTCAAATTTAATTGACAGTACTTAAAAAAGAAGAGTATGTTCTTTGCCAGTCTCAGCCCCTTGTTGAATTGAAATATCTGGGGTTCTCCCTATACATCCACTTTCCTTCTCTCTCCCCTTTCTGGCACAGGCTGTTCTCTTTCTGAGATGCTCCCCCTCCCTGCTCTGCACACGGCAATCCCGTCTGGAAGCCTCCCTGCTCCCTTCAGGTCTTCTGTGACTTGGGTCTAAGCCGCATCTCCTCCTCCTCAATTCAGAGTAGTTTTCCACGTTTTCCACAAGTGCTGTTCATGCTTTCATCGATACTACATATTTGCTTCTTTTTCTTCTCAACTGAGCTTCATGATCCTTGATGGCAGGGATTTTCTATCTCTTAAAGTGCCCAGCACTGCACCTGCCTGAAAGTAGGTGTTTAAGAAGATCTTGATGAATGTGCAAGGTTTGTAGGGGATGTTTCTGTTTTGCTACTGGCTTCTCTCAGTGAAAAGAAGTCATTGCTTCTCTCTGGCACACTCAAGGACGTTTTAGCTACAGTTGAAAAGGAACAACGTGAGGCTTTGTGTCCAGGGCCTCCATTTCTAGTAGAGTTCCCCGAGTTTAAATATCAAGGGTCCAAATATCCTGCTATCCTTTGAGGTGCCAGCTATGTTTCATTAGAAAATAAATGATTTTGGAGGGTTTCCCTTTTGTACTCCGTGACACCTCAGTCTATATTTTAGTTCCTTGCTGCCGTTTTTACGATGTGACACAGAAGAGCACTAAATTACGTGGTTGAGTGTGTCACTGGTGCTCCCCAGGATCCATTAAGCACTTGCGGTTATTGAGCTAAAAAGCACCGCCGTTCACCTGGACCTGCTGCGTTTGTGATTACCCCCTCTCCACTCTGAGAACCACGTGAGACAGTCTTTCATGAGATCTTGTTGCCCTGGGCCGCACTGTTCCTCAGCAGTCTCAGCAAGGGAAGCGTGTTCTGTAGCTTTATCACTGAGCGCTTGCCTGCTAAGAAAAAAATCCAAGAGTTTTCTTTATTTTAGAATTTCTAAGTGTGCTTGGAATTCTTTGGTTCTGGAAATAGATTACCATGTACATTATTGGTCACAGTTCAGAGGACTTAAAGGAGAACCATAAAATAGATGCCGCTGTAGGTTTGTCGTCATCTGCATTTACTGTCAGCTCTGCTCAGTAATAAAATACTCTTCTGGGTCACCTTCCAGGGAGAGGCAGGATCTGGACTTGGACATCTGCAGTCAGTTTGGCTGTGTCTCTGCTTGCTGTTCTGATGTTAACGAGGCCACTTTAGGGGCTCACCCCTTCCTCAGATGAAAGAAGAACTCTTTGCAGTTCTATAAGAAGCTTCAAACAACTCAGAAGCTTTGGATTTTTGCAATGATCTCATTAATATCTGTATCTTCTGGTAGGTTGGTGTCTGCTGCAGGAAATTAACCATCTAGGTAATTAGTTGCCTAAGGTTAGATCCTCAGCAGGACCAGCTCTGGGTTCATGTTCCAGCCACCAGTGCACACTGTTTCTCTTACCATGAACTGCGAAGAGTAAAACAATCCTGTTTGGGGGTTGGAATGTGAGGTCTAATTATTTGGCACTTTTGGGGACATAGGCATTTTGAAAGTCAGTCTCAGTTGGTATGGAGACGTTTGCTGCAGCTGCCCATGGGATTTTTTCGCAGGGTTTTCCAAGGCTGAGCCCCTCATCCTCCTGCCTGCTGGTCTCATTGCCCGTGACTCAGTCCTCCCTGCCGTGTGTCTGTCCTAAACTCCTCTCATGGCCTTTCATGTCTCTCACTGCCACACGCCTTTGCACGTGCTGTTTGTTTTGCCGTAACGCCTTCACCTCTTTACCAGCACGATGAGTTTTCACTCACTCTTTAAAATGTAGTGTTCTCCCCCTGAACCTAGAGCAAGAACACGTACGTTCTTCCACTGCAGTGTCTGCTCCTGCCACCTTGTTCCCTTGGCACTGTGTGCACACCTTCTGCTAGCACAGTGCGTTCTAAGTTACACTTATTTGTACATGAATCTCCACCACTTTGGGAGGTCCTGGTGGGTACAGACCATGTAGTAGTTTTTTCCTTTGTCCATGCTTGTATTAGGCCCCTGCTCTATGTTTAGTGAATGAATGAAATTTGTATACTTTTTCTCAGACAACGTGAGGTGTCTTACTAGAGCTTTTACAAATTTTCCTCTTAGCTGTGGAAGAACAATGCAAAGAGTTGTGCTTCAGTAGGAGGGAAAGGAATCCATAAGCCTTAAATTTCTTCATTGACAGTAGGATTATTACTCTAACATATCATTGATTAATGGGAAACAAGCAAATTTAAACTTTCTGGCTAAATCAGTCACTTCTAGAGTGAATGACATTTACAAGTTAAATAATGATTTGTGCTAAATGTTACTACTGAAATAAAAGCTGTAAAACACTTATAGAAAGTAATAATATCCATTATTGAGAACTTATTATATAGATAGACTACTAGGTTATTGATCTCTCTGCTTATATAGACCTTTATCTGTCTGTCACTTTATCAATGAATGTTTAAGCACCTAAAATATACCAGATACTATACTAGGCACTCCATTATTTTTTAAATTCTTTGAACAATGTTTGAGTTAGAGATTATTCTTCCCATTTTATATATGGGGAAGATCAGACACAGAGTGTTTAATTTTCCAAAATTCACTGAACTAGTAAGTGATTTAGCTGGGGCTTAGACCCGGGTCTTCTGAGCTCCATATTATGCGTTAATAATTTCTGCTACATCTGGCTGCCTTGCATTATTTACATTTTTTTCTGTTTGGTGTTTTGGTACTAGATCTTCCTTGAGTATTGCTATTCGTCACACAAAATTTAATGGAAATGCTTTGATATTTGGCAGAACTATTTTCTCAGTATTGGATTTTGGGACATATATAGTTGTCATTTCTTGATTGTGATAGTTTTACATAGTCTTACATCAGAGTATCATTTTGTAAGAATTCAGTCCTCAGTTTTACAGTTTTTAAAACCAAGGTCAAAGTGGTTCATAAGGTTTATAGATTAAGTGCTTTATCTTCTTGATCAGCATATTGAGATAATATGCATTTAAAGTTTAAAATAATTTACACTTTTTAATTATAAAGTCACTTTTAATTATTCCTTATCTTTTTTACAGGTACCAAGTACTTGCTTTTGCAACAGATGCAGATAAAAGACAGGAGACTGAACAGCAGAAACTTGGTTCTGGAAAAAGACTTGTTGTAAGGCCATTTTTTTAGTATATAAAAATTTCAGTAATGTTACATTTATTTTTTTATTGATTTATTTTCTATTTTTTAGAGATTTTATTTATTTATTTTTAGAGAATGGGGAGGGAAGGAGAAAGAGAGAGAAAAACATTACTGTGTGTTTGCCTCTCATGTGCTCCCTACTGGGGACCTGGCCCACAACCCAGACATGTGTCCTGACTGGGAATTGAACCAGTGACACTTCGGTTTGCAGGCCCATGCTCAATCCACTGAACCACACCAGCCAGGGCTTTATTTTCTATTTCTTAAATTATTTTTTTCTATTTTTCAATTAGTGTTGACATTCAAGATCATTTTATATTAGTTCCAGGTATACAGCATAGTGGTTAGATGTTTATGTAATCTACAAAGTGATCCCCCCACCCCCACTCCCATAAGTCTAGTACCCACCTGGCACCAACACATCGTTATTCCAATGTTGTTCACTGTGTTTCCTGTCCTACACTTTACATCCCCGTGACTATTTTGTAACCGCCAATTTGTAGTTCCTGACCCCTTCCACCCAGCTGCCCAACCCCTCTCCCATCTGGAAAACATCAGTATCTATGAGTCTGTTTGTTTTGTGTCTTTTATTCTTTAGATCTCACGTGTAAGTGAAATGATACAATATTTGTCTTTCTCTTTCTGACTTATTTCACTTAGTATAATACCATCTAGGTCCATCGATGTTGTCACAAATGGTAAGATTTCACTCTTTATCGCTGAGTACTACTCCATCGTATATCTGTGCCACATCTTCTTTATCCACTCATCCATCAGTGGGCACTTAGGTTGCTTCCATATTTTGGCTGTTGTAAATAATTCTGTAATGAACATAGGGGGTGCCTGTATCTTTTCACATTAGTGTTTTGGATTTTTTCAGACAAATACCCAGAAATGGAATTCCTGAGTCATTAGGTAGTTTATTTCAATTTTTTAAGGAACCTCCATACTGTTTCCCAGGTTGGCCGCACCAATCTGCAGTCGCACCAACAATGGGCCAAGGTTCCCTTTTCTCCACATCCTTGCCAACACTTGTGTTTTATTGATTAATTGGTGGTAGCCATTCTGACAGGCGTGAGGTGATATCTCATTGTGGTTTTAATTTGCATTTCTGTGATGATTAGTGATGTGAGCGTCTTTTCATATGTCTGTTGGCCATCTGTTGTCTTCTTGGGGAAATGTCTGTTCAGGTTCTCTGCCCACTATTTAAGTGGATCTTTGGTTTTTTGATGTTAAGCTATGTGAGTTCTTTATAAATTTTGGATTTTAACTCCTTGTTGGATGTGTCATTGGTGAAAATCTTCTCCAGTTTAGAAGGTTGTCTTTATTAATTATGCTGTTACAGTCGCCTCACTTTTTTCTCCTCTTCGTTCCCCTCCACCCTGTACCCCTTGTCACCAGCAGTCCCTGTTCGTGTCCGTGGGTCATACATGTAAGTTCTTCGGCTTCTCCACTTTGTATACTATTCTTAGCCTCCCCCTGTCTGTTTTGTATCTACCATTTACACTTCTTATTCCCTTTACTTTTCCCTCATTATCTCCCCGAACCCTCCCCGCTGATAACCCTCCATGTGAACTCCATTTCTGTGATTCTATTCCTGTTTTAGTTGTTTGCTTATTTTTTTTTTTTTTAGGTTCAGTTGTTGATAGTTGTGAGTTTGATGTTATTTTACTATTCATATTTTTGATCATCTTCTTTTTCTTAGATAAGTCCCTTTAACATTTCATATAATAAGGGTTTGGTGATGACGAGCTCCTTTAACTTGACCTTGCCTGGGAAGCACTTTATTTGCCCTTCCATTCTAAATGGTAGCTTTGCTGTATAGAGTAATCTTGGATGGAGGTCCTTGCCTTTCATGACTTGGAATACTTCTTTCCAGCTCCTTCTTGCCTGCAAGGTTTCTTTTGAGAAATCAGCTGATAGTCTTATGTGAACTCCTTTGTAGGTAACTGTCTCTTTTTCTGTTGTTGTTTTTAAGATTCTTTTCTTATTTTTAATCTTGGGTAATGTAATTATGATGTGTCTTAGTGTGTTCCTCTTTGGGTCCAACTTCTTTGGGACTCTCTGAGCTTCCTGGACTTCCTGGAAGTCTATTTCCTTTGCCAGATTAGGGAAGTTCTCCTTCATTATGTTTTCAAATAAATTTTTAATTTCTTGCTCCTCTTCTTCTCCTTCTGGCATCCCTAAGATTTGGATGTTGGAACATTTAAAGTTGTCCCTGAGGTTCCTAAGCCTGTCCTCATTTTTTTTGAATTTTTGTTTCTTCATTCTGTTCTGGTCGAACAGAATGGTTCTGTTCATTTCTTCCTTCTGGTCCACACCATTGATTTGAGTCCTGGTGTCCTTCCCTTCACTGTTGGTTCCCTGTGCATTTTTCCTTATTTCACTTCACATGGCCTTCACTTTTTCCTCTATTTTGTGACTGTACTCCACCATTTCTGTGGGCATCCTGATGACCACTGTTTTGAACTGTGCATCTGATAGGTTGGCTATCTCTTCATCGCTTAGTTATATTTTTTCTAGAGCTTTGATTTGTTGTTTCATTTAGGCCATATTTCTTTGTCTGGGCACAGCTATTACATAGTAAGGGGTGGAGCCTTATGTATTCGCCAGGGCAAGGCAACTCACATCACTGTGTCGTGGTGTTCTATGTGGGGGAAGGGTACCAGAGGGAACAATGCCACTTGTTTGGCTCCACCCTGGCTTTCTCTGCTGGCTTTCAGTCACTTCCCCTACTATCCACAAGCAAATTGGGCCTTTCTGGTGCTGATTCCTGGGTAGGTGGGCTTGTGTACATTCTAGGACCCTGTGGGTCTCTTCAACAGGCTCTCCTGTGAGGCTGGGAGTTTCTCCTGCCCTCACAACCCCTGCAGGTTTTTTCAGTTACAGGTTTTGAGGCTTTATTTCCCTGTGCCGGAACCCTAGGTTGTGTGATCTGTCTCACTCCCCAGTTGTTCCTCCTGGTTTATTTGCATGTGAATGTGGTACAACAGCTGCCACCTTACCCTACATGGTCTTCCAGCCACTGCCTTGCTGCACATCTGCTCCTCCCTGGTTGCCTGTCTTCTCCCCTCCTACTGGTCTGGATGAATATTTCTTCCTTAACTCCTTCATTATCGGACTTCCATACAGTTGTCCTTCTTTTGCTTGTGTGAGGAGGCAAAGTGTACCTACCTACCCCTCCATCTTGCCCGGAAGTCAGAAATTTCTTAATAGTATTGATATAAAAGTGTTCTGTTTTTTAGCAACTAAATTGATCTTAGGTTTTCCTTTGCAGGTAGACTGGACTTTAAACATTGGAGAGCAAGCCCTTGATATAAGTATTATGTCTTTCAATCAGTCAGCATCTTCTGTTTTTGTTCTTGGTGAAAGAAACTTTTTTTGCCTGAAGGATAATGGACAAATTCAGTTCATGAAGAAACTTGATTATAGCCCAAGTTGTTTTCTCCCGTACTGCTCAGGTGTGTAGAAAGATTCTCTTTTATCTTTTCCATATGTTAAAGCTGCGTTATATACATCAGAAAGAGGCAAACTCACACATGTACATTTTAAACCTCTAGGAAAATAGTTTTATACTGAGCATGTAATGGAAATTTTGACCTTTAAAGTTTGAATAGAAGTTTGATATAAAGCACACATTTGGGTTTGTCGGTCATTTTACTTTGTACAAAATGATTTGTAGAATGGGCCTCAGGCATACATTTAATGCTTTCCAAAATGTGGCTGTTCAAGATGCTTCCAAGAGAACATCAGACTCTTTTTTATGGGCAGAATGGAGCATAGTAATGCCCAATAGAATGACTTTTCTGTAGTGAATGCCCAGTAAATCACTAGCTTAACTGTGCTAAATATTAATGAAATTCATGCTTGCTAGATGAAATGCAAAAATGTTGGCCACTATTTCGTTATAGTTTCCAAGTCTATAATTTTTTCTTTTAAACGTTAGTTCGAAGTTGAAAAATCATGTCTTATTACTTAAAATCTTTACACTCTAACACCAAGACATTATAATTGGTTTGTATCATAAATCCCCTAAAAGGAATATAATATACTGTGGCAAAGGACAGTGTCCTCATTATCCTCTCTTTCTGTCTTCAACCTCCTCCAGTTTCCGAAGGGACAGTGAACACGCTGATTGGAAACCATCACCGCATGCTGCATGTTTTTCAGGACGTGACGCTGAAGTGGGCCACGCAGCTCCCCCACGTCCCCGTGGCTGTGAGAGTGGGCTCTCTGCAGTAAGTGACTCAGTTAACACTTTTTTAAAAAAGAGAATCCTGGCCAAGGGATTCTCAAGACGTTTTATGGAACAATGGCAAGTGATGTTACTGAGAAATGAATTTTACTGAAAAAGTGGCATTGCGGTGCGAGCGTCAGCGGTAGAAATAATTTAAAACATAACTGCAATTGGAAAAGAGGAATGTAAAAATTCTTTTTTTTAAAGATTTTATTTGTTTATTTTTAGAGAGGGAAGGGAGGGAGAAAGAGAGAGAGAGAGAAACATCAATGTGCGGATGCTGGGGGCCATGGCCTGCAACCCAGGCATGTGCCCTGACTGGGAATCGAACCTGTGGCACTTTGGTTCTCAGCCCATGCTCAATCCACTGAGCTACGCCAGCCAGGGCGGAATGTAAAAATTCTTAATTCGAACCATTGATAATTTTTATTTAGTATTTCTAGTGAGATATCCTTTGTAAATTAAAGGTTTCAAGAAAATGGTTTGCCTGATAGATTTCTTTTTCAAAATAGGAAGGAATTTCTGTAAGCATTGGATGCTTAGCATCCAGAGATCCCTTGTTGTTGGACTGTGAGACCGTTGTCCTTCAGACTTGCGTTAGGCCTTGTGCCCAGTGGGGCAGAATCGCTCATGATGACGTGTGTGAGACAGTTTAGATATTAAATAGGGCCACTTTGTATTTATAATGATAGGCAAAATTTATGTCTTGATATTAAATTTGCAAAATTTATCAAAAACAAGAGAAAGGTAATGGGAAGTGTGTATTTTTTCAGATTGTCAGTATAAAAGGCAAGATCTCAGATTATGCTTAGAAATTGAAAATCTTGGTAAATGTATAGAAACATACTTTCTATAAAGTGTTGTAGGTTCCCGGATTTATTCAGTTTTGCCTATTATATCATGTTATTGACCATTTATAAACTATACATAGAATTCTTCTGTGGCATGTACGGTATCTATCTGATCAGTAGGACTTATCCCCCCAAATTAGGAGCTTGAATGTTATGCATCACATAAGGCATGTTGGCCGACAATGGTGGTCCCATAAGATTATGATGGGGCTGAAGAATTTGTATAGCCTAGCGACGATGCAGCTGTCGTCACATGTAGAACAACACACCACTCACGCGTTTGTGGTGAAGCTGGTGTAAGCAAATCTGCTGACCTGCCAGTTGTATACAAGTATAGCACATACAGTTATGTACAGTGCATAATACTTGACAGTGACAATAAATGAAAATGTTACTGGTTTATGTATTTATTATACTACACTTTTTATTGTTATTTTAGTGTAGTCTTTCTATTTATGAAAAATATTTTGCTGTATAACTATGCCATATTACTTCGGCAAGCCTCATATACCTCATGATTACCGAGTCTCTTAATTGTATCATTTTCTATTGCGTTGGATTTAATTTTATGTTATTTTGTCCCTCATGGTTCCTAAACACACAAAACCCACTGCTAATGTTGCTAGTAAGAGGCCACATCAAGTGACTGGACTGGAAACGAAATTAGAATTGATTAAGAACTAAGAAGGTGGAAGATCAGCAATGGTTATTGATTCCAGTCAGGCCTGTCCCCTTTCACCATAGTTACAAACTTGAAGAATAAGAACCGAGTGACAGAAGCTGTGAGAGGATCTGCGTCACTGAAGGCAGCAAGACTTAACAGAGATCGAAGGAGGATCTCTGTTAGACGTGCAGAATCTTCTGATGACCAGACACAGACGTGTATTCCTTTCAGCACCAGGCTGGCCACGGGCAGAGCAAAAGTGTTTGTGATGTTGGAAGATGAGGCTGGACCCGACTACAGTGTTGAGTTTCTGCTAGCTCTGGGTGGTTTAAACGTATCAAAATTTGTTATTCAAGCTATGTATGGTGGCAGGTGGGTAGTAGACTTTTAAGGATAATCGCATAGTAAGTTCTATAACATCTAACTACTCGGTTGTGCACCTCAAACTAATATTATATGTGAACTGTAATTTAAAAATAAAAAAGGTTTGAGAATTGAAAAAATTATTATTCATCCCATAATGTACGAGTGAGTGGCAAGTCTGCGAGTGCTGATATGAGAGCAGCTGAGGAATTTTTGGAAATTCTAGATAAGCTGACTGTGGAGGAAAATTATTTACCAGAGCAAATATTCAGTGTGGATGAAACCTTCCTCTTCTGCAGAGGGAGGCCTGAAAGGACTTCCATCCACAAGAAGGCCAAGTCAACACTAGGTTTCAAGGCTCTTAAGGACAGGGTAGCAGCCTTGCTGGGGACATGCTGCAGGCTACAGATGGAAGCCCTCTGTGACCTGGCTCCGTGAGAACCCAGGGCCTTCAGACACAGGAGTAACCCCCCAGCCCCCCAGGGAACTACAGGCACAGTAAGAGGGCATGAGGCATGAGGATGCAGCTCCTCTCCCAAGGTGCCCTCTTGAGTTGCTCTGCAGCAAAATTGCGGAGTAATGTTTGGGGGATTAAATACCTTTCAAGGCGTTTCTTGTTGTTGATAATACTCCTGGATACTCTCCTTTTATTGGCCTTCCTCATCCCAATATCAACATGGTGTTTCTCCCTCCAACCATCACCTCTTTGATTCAACCAATGGATTAAGGAGTTATATCAGCTTCTAAGACCTCTACCTTGCAAGGACCTTTGCCCAGGCTGTTGCTGCAACTGAGGAAAACACTGAGAGGACACTGATACAATTCTGGAAGGGTGGCCACATCCATGATGGTATCAAGAACCTTGCTTGGGCTTCAGGTGATGTCACCAAGAAGCGTATGAATGGCATCTGGTAGACGTCACTCAAGAGGTTTGTCCATGACTTCAAAAGACTTGCCGATGATGGAGAAGTTGCAAAAATCAACAAGGCTGTGGTGGAGATGGCAAATAGCTTTAACCTGGGTATGGGTGAGGGTGACGCTGAGGAGCTTCTGGAGGTGGCTCCTGAGGAATTGGCTAATGAGGAGGTGTTGGAACTGGAACAAGGAATGCAGAGCTGAAGGAGGGACAGGAGGAAAGGAAGCTGCAAGAGAAGAAAAAGAAGAACCCAAATAAAATTCACAGTGAGAGGTGTAACAGCAGTTTTTGCAGATCTCAACAAGCTCCTTAAAAACTTTGAAAACATGGACCCCAATAGCAAAAGGTTTTCATTAATAGGGAAGAATGTTTGTGGTGCATTATATGTGTACAAGCAAATCTACAACGAAAAAAAAAAAAAGAAGCAAACTCAGCAACCCCCTGTAGACATATTTCTGAAAAGAATGGCACCTTCTCAAGAAGAGCCTCAGGCAGGCCCTTCAGGGGGTGTTCCAGGAGAAGGCTTTGCTATCACAGGAGAGGGTGGCTCCGCCTGAGTTATTATTGCCCCAAGACCTTCCAGTGGGACAAGTCGTGGCGGAGGAAGACAGTGATGTTGGTGATCCCAACTCTGTGTAGGCTTTGGCTAATGTTTGTGTTTGTGTATTAGTTTTTAAAATTTGTATTGTCCCCTGAGGCTATGTTCATTGATTCTAGAGAGAGAGGAAGGGAGAGACAGAGATAGAGAGATCAGTGTGAGAGACATCAATTGGTTGCCTCCTGTATGCGCCCTGACTGGGGATCGGACCCACAAACTAGGTATGTGCCCTGACTGGGAATCAAACCTGCAACCACTTGGTGTACAAGATGATGCTCCAACCAGCTGAGCCACCTGGCCAGGGCGGTGTCTTAGTTTTTAACAAAAAATAAATAAAAAATACTTTTTACAGCCATACACAGTATTTGTGTTTTAAGCTAAGTGTTATTACAAAAGAGTTGAAAATTGAAAACTTGTAAAGGAAAAAAGGTTACAGTAACCTGAGGTTAATTTATTATTAAAGAAAGGAAAGTATTTTAAAATAAGTTTAGTGTAGCCTAAGTCACGTCCCAGGCCTCCACATTCACTCACCACTCACTCACTGACTCATCCAGAGCAACTCCCCATCCTGCAGGCTCCATGCATGGTAAGCGCCCTGTATAGCTGCACCATTTTTCGTCTTTTACTGAACCTTTTCTATGTGTAGATACACAGATACTTACCATCGTGTACAACCACCTACAGTGTTCAGCACAGTGGCCTGCTGTGCAGGTTTGTAGCCTAGGAGCAAAGGCTAAACCGCACCGCCCAGGTGTGCAGCAGGCCAGACCATCCAAGGTCTGTGTAAGCGCACTCCATGATGCTCACACACGACACAATTGCCTAATGGCTCAGAATGTGTCCCTGTCGTTAAGGGACGCATGACTGTGTTGTTGTTGAAGCTCAGTTAAGCGCATTCATATTTGCATTAGTGGTTAATCTGAAACCTGAATGTTGGAGAAATGGAAACTTTTGAAAACATTGCATATTTTCAAAGAAGTTGCTTTTTCATGTTTTATGGGAAGACACCATCATATAATTCTAATTGGTATTCAGTTAACACAAATTGTAGTTATTTTGTACCTGAAGAAAAATGTAAAGTTTTGAGATTGGCTTTTGCAGTGTTCACAAAATGGTCTTTTAAGTTCAACCAAACACTCAGACTCACCAGACGTGTTACATACGATTTACTTAGAAGGATTTAGAACAGGAAAAATGTCTTGCCAGCAGGGCCATGTCAAGTATTTCTCTTCAGGGAGAGTAATTCTCACAACAGCACATATATCCTTCCAAGAGTTGTTCTCTTTGGCCCCCGAGTGACAGCACAGGTGCAAGAAGACAGGTCCGCGCGGGTGGGTGTGGATTGCAGTCTCCGTGCCCCCCCGCAGCCAGTGTCTTCAAACACTGAAAGGTCATCGTGGTTCATGTAGGTGTGTGCAGCATGGGAGAGTGATGTGTAGAAAGGCGTTATTGAGACCGTTTGGTTGACATTCTTATTCTACACGTATGTTATTTACAAGGAACGTGCCTACGTCGAGTCCCCATACTCAAGCTCCAAGTTATGGCTCCTCAGCAGATAGGTATAGTTAATGTACAGTTGCTGGTCCAGATGCACCTACAAATCAAGGGT